AGACCTTTATTCAAGGTGGATAGAGAATGGGTGCATCCTTTTTATCATATCTAATATGTTTAAAATCTAAAGTAAACGATATCTTAGGTATTTAATACTTATATCATTGTTCAAATATTCAACTATTTTTCAAAGTGCTAATTGGAGGTCTTTGATAGCAAATTGCTTAATTGAAAATACATATCTTTTCAAACTTGCTTTCACTGGGCAAGATGACAAGTATCATTTTTAACCATCAGTCTTCCTTCACTAAAAAGATTAATCCAATCATTAATTGAATTTAAAGGAACTCATTTATCTCAATAAACTGTGTACAAATTATTACATGATACTGTAGAGGGATTTCTAAGATATTACAATAAATTGTACAGTCGTTTGTTGAACGAGTTCAACTGAGACAACCATTTTTCGTCACAAGTGACCTAAATAGTGACGTCATTTTCACATTGTGACGTCACAAACAAGGAGAGAAACTTTATTCAGCATATGCTATTTATAGACCTTTTGTATGGCTATGTGTGTACCGAATTTCATTCTAATCTGAATTGTGGTTTTGTAGATATAGAAATAGATTGCGAACTTTTTGATCATCCCTCGTAAACAAAATATTGACCATCTTGTTAAAAAGCCTTTGCCCATGCAAAAATACAAATTTCATTCAAGTCTAATATTTACTCTCTTTCGAGAAGTGGACAAGCTTTCATCTTCATCCTGATGTAGGCCAAAGCATTTCCACTTCTCTTAAGAGATTACGTTTAAAGTATAGTTTGACTTTGTCAAAGCGCTACAAAACATTTTTGAAAAAATAGCTGTGAGTATTTGCTTTGACTGGACAATAGTAGCCTTGTAGATACTGCATTTACAATAAAGTGTAATATATGACATGTATATAGATATTTTTTATTTATAATTTATCTCTTTTAAAATTAAAATGAAAAATCTTTGTGATATCGAACTTTGACGTCAAATACAAATACTTGAATCCATATTCCGTACGACATACATAGCAGTATACATGTAAACATTGTATATGTGAAGTGATAGTATATAAATATTGCATGTAGTTGAGTGTAACATTGAAAATTTTCACCCCAAGAAAACCATTGTCAACCGAGGCGCAGCCGAGGTTGACAATGGTTTTCGAGGGGTGAAAATTTTCAATGTTACACTCAACTACATGCAATATTTATTATATTATACTGAATGTTTTATACAAATACATATTACAGTGAACCGTGCGCGCATAAATTCCGCGCAGTCGCTATTTTTTGTAATAACACCCGTCGTCAAGCAATGTTGACTGTTGCTACGCAGGAGGGCGTGGCTTCATTATTCAACGGGTAGTAGTGTTTTTTATCAAATGTTTCTCGACGAATCAGATTCAGGTAATTTACATGAAAGTATAATATTATATCATAATGACCTAATGCAAAGTTTTGCATGTTAATGTTTCCTATTTGCACTGAAACTGACAGTCTTTTCAACACAACCCAACTTTTGGTACTCTACAATATTTATAATGAGTTAAGAATTATTCTCTACTTTTTTTCCTTGTATGATTGCGTTACAAGACCAACATTGACGTCTTTAACTCTGTCATAGACATTCCCAGGATCTCTTCTTCCCAAAACCTCGTAATGTGCACTACAAAAACATAACGTACTATGAAAGAGTAGGTTCATGCAAAAACCATTTATCAGCATAAAAAACTTACTCAAATAATTAAAGTTGTTTAGGCTTACCTGTTCTCTTGGTGCCCTACAACGAAGAAAGAAAAAAGTGGTTTGTGAAACACTATGCGCCCTGCGGCAACAAAGTTAAAAAAAACATATTTTAGCATATAGGTCACAGTCAAGGTCACAAGGTCATTGACCTTGGTGTTATTTGAAAGAACTTGATTAGTGAAGTATGCATACCAAACATGAAGCCTCTATCTCTCATGGTTCAAAAGAAGTTGTGGTGAAGGTTCAAAAAAGCTATTTTTAGCATATAGGACAAAGTCAAGGTCACAAGGTCATTGACCTTCGTGTCATGTGAATGGGTTTAATTAGTGGAGTATACAAGTCAAATACTTAAAGTCTCCATCTTTCTTCGTCCAAAAGTTGTGGCGAAGGTTAAAGTTTGCAGAAAAAAACTATTTTTAGCATATAGGTCACATGATCATTGACCTTGGTGTCATTTGAAAGAGCTTAATTAATGAAGTATGCATACCAAATATGAAGTCTCTTTCATTCATGGTTCAAAAGTTATGGCGAAGGTTAAAGTTTGCATACATACAGACAAACAGACAGACCGACAGGACAAACACAATATACGCCTCGGATCTTTCTATCCGGGTGCATAAAAATTGAGAACCGGTTTTTGAAGATTTTTACAATTCTACTACGTATATCATACAACAACACACAAAATATATACTCAACAAAAAAGATACGCATATTCAGATTAAACATGATAGTCTAAGTTTTCACTTTATTCCTTATAATTTAAATGTGATTTTAGAGTGTGTCGTGATAGAAATCAAACATGTCCTAAGTTGTAAATTGAAAAGTCAAGTTGAAGTCATTGTCGCCGCCTCTAAATTCTAAGGGCATACCGTCTAAACCAATCCATATGTCCTTTTCAACGTCTCAGCGCTAATGGATTTCAAATGTATGGAAATTGTGCACGAATACCAGCTTTTCTCAGACTCTTGCGAACAATTTGTGCACTTTTATGCTGATTGCTTCAACCAGCAATTGTAGCGGCAGTTTGTAAAGCAGTTCTAAATCGATTGCGCAGGTGCTGGAGGGGGTACGACGGTCCTGTCTGGGTGCGGTAACCCGCGGACGGCCAGTCTTTGGTCTATCAAGCGTGTTCCTAACTTGTTCCTAACGTTTAATCGCTGCAAAGGCGATTGATGCACACAAAATGCAGTGGCAACGTCCTGTAGCTTAGCTCCGGTTATAATCATCTTTACCCCGGTTCATTTTTGTTAAGGCGTGGCACTGCAGCATCAACATTGCAATCAAGTCTTAAATATGAGTTTGATAGGAGTGTTTATTGTTTCTCTAAATCTAAAATATCAATGAAAATAGACCCCCGATGTACAAGAAATCATGTAAAACACTATTTTCATAAACATTATTAATCAAGGGAAATAATTCAACACTTAGGCTTTAAAACCCCATGTTGTCATTTAAATAGGTCAATGATATCCAGCGATAAAAAAGATAGTTGTTCCTTATACTTTTTCAAAATTTCTTTGAAGAGTAAAACAATATGCGTTTCTTTTTTTGTTGAGTATATAACAAAAGTAACCCACACGCATTTTAGAGCTTGGTTTTCATTTTGAATATTTGGTTAATCCAAACACAAAATTAACAACATCTGCTATTAGTATCATGTAAAAACATTCAGGTGTCATTTTCATTAATGAAAATACGTGGGGAAAGTAGATGTCAAAATTAGATATCCATGTCCATATTTTCAGAATTTCGTGGTTTGACACCTTTTTCACTTCAAAATATTTCATTTACATCTATTTCTTTGGAAGAATTAAAAAATATTTTTTAATTTACAAGTTATTTTCTTTCTACAGCTTATGGAACATTAATAAACTCAATATTAATTGATAAGAATGAGAAGCTGTACAATTGAAGTACATGTGTAAAATGAAGCCATATTATACAAAAATCATGCAAAGACTGCCAAAGAGATATTGACAAAAATACACGTAATTGTGTGTTTTTTTCAAAAATGTAATTTAATATTGTTCACATCTTCATGGCCCCTGCTCTGACCTCTGATGTCTTGGGGTCCATGTTTGCTCTGCCCCTATTTTGTATTTTTTTTATGGACTTTTGATCTGGAATAATGTTCGTTATCTCCATATGTTTCATTTTAGAACTGTAATAAACTGAAACCAGTCTTGAAAGGATAGAAAGCAAAGGGAAACGGTTATATTTTACATTCTTGCTTACAAGTAAAGTCTATTTATTAATTATCAATGTTATTTATATTTTTGATGTTCTTGAAAGACTTTAAAAAATATCCTAAATTCAGTAAGTAAGAAATGAACTGTTCTTACCCTAGCATCAGTGTCTATGATTTAAAACAAGACCTTACCATCGATAATTTTAATGAAGGTAGCATTACAAAGTGTTACGAAATAAAAATACTCAACCAAAAAGCTCTCTTAATTAAAAAAAGGAACACAATAAATCCTTTACCAAAGCTATTTGGACAATATAAAAATGTATTTCATCAAGGGTAAATAACTTTATTTTCGAAAACATTCAAGGTGCAAAATGACCATCTTCTTCTACCGGTATTTAAGTTATCAGTGTGTGAATTTGGTTTATTTCAGTTTCATCGTTACCTAGAAATACATATTTTACAAGTTCAGAATTATTAATAATAGTATAAATATACCACAGAGTCTGACACGTCCGTTTCATACTTGGATATTTTACTTGAAAAAGACGTTAATGGTAATCTAACAACCAAGCTCTATGATAAACGTGATAACTTTAACTTTACTATCGTCAAATTCCCTTACTTATGCAGCAACATACTTTTTATAAATCTCAGTTGATTCGATACACAAGAGCATGCTCTACGTATGAATATTTCTAAAACGAGGTAAATTATTGACAAACAGATTGATGAAACAAGAATATCAGCAGTCTAGTTTAAAGTCACCATTTCGTAAGTTCTAGGGTCGATACAATGACCTTGTCAGCAAATTCAATTTATCGTTGAGTCAAATGCTGACTGACGTTTTTCATACTATTTGTTAGTCTATTATATGTACAACGAATTGACGGATCATTTCTATATTTTGAAATACATGACAGGGAACACGGAGGGTGTAACCGGTCGGCAGGGTTTGCTCTGCTCCTAACTTGTTTTGTTTTATGAACTTTGATATTGAATACTGTTTGTTATTTCCATAGCCTTCATTCATTCATTAAACATTGAATATCTTACAAAAGAGGAAAATGCATGTAAGAAGCTTACTTGTAGCGTCTCTATCAATACAATGATATTTGTGATCGTCCAAATCAGAAACACACTGCATGACGTAATCTCCATTTTTGCTGAAAAAAAATCATAAGTTTGCTTTATCAGTTTTTTTTAAATTTGGTAGGCATTTCAATTTAATACCACATTTATCTTATACATTAAACGTCTTGTGTTTATAAAAATGAAAAATAAATAATTAATCAACTCCGACAATATATACCAGTGACATCGGTTTTAAAGGCAAAACAGAGTGTATATGGTGTTTTCCTTCTTCCTATGATTCGATTAGCAAGAACATGATTTTACAAAAAATAAGTTGATGTTACAAGGATTTCAACAAGTTCGATCAAAGTCAGTAATATATTTTGCAAATTCTGCGATTGTTATAATGATCTCTTCTGTAAACTTGTACTTAAATGAAAAATACTGTTGATTCGTTATTTTGACAGACATGTTGGATACCATTCGTTTTGGCATTGTGTTTGTACTAATACGTTGAGTACGGAGTATAATTCTTATGTATAAAAGCAATCCATTGGGGGGACACTGCGGGTGTGGCCGGTCAACAGGGAGTAATTATACTCCTTTTTAAGACACCTGACCGCCAACTCTGCTATTTTCAGGGGACCGTGTATTTGCCTTGTTCACAATGAAAACAAGACTGGTCATGGTTCATTATCTTCATATTTTACATCATTAAGCTTTTGTTTGTTTTGTTTAACGTCCATAACCGATTCACTCATATTGTGACGCTGCAACTTGGCGTACCCAGAGTGTTCCAGATTCAGACCTATACTTGGCACTAAGGGCCTTTGAGCATGGATTTTTTTTTGTGTGTGTCAGCATAACTTATTTTCATTTGCACTTACCCATTTTTCTCGACATTATTTCCTCATGAAAAAGAAAAGAAATATTTTGGTGATAAGCACAATTTGACATATGTATGCAATGCAATAATAGTGTGAAACTAGAGCCGAGCTCGTTGCAAAGCAACGAGTAGGTCTTCCGTTGGAGCTGTGGACAGGAAGTACAGACCTTGGGTCAAGGTCACTGCACTTTCTTATGTCAACAACCTTTCTTCCCAGCATGAGCCTCCAGTAAATTTTATTTATAAAGTTATGCTTAAACACTTTTTTCTTTGTCAGTGACCTTGATTTGCCAGAAAGACATTTGATCAGGGTCATGACAAAACCCCCAATCATTATAAAGTAATCTATGTTTCAAGTATGAGCCTCCAATGATTTTCATTTACTAATTCATAGCGTAGTAAAGAAAATATTTCTTCTGTCAGTGACCTTGATCTTAACAGAATAACCTTGGCTCTGTGTCAAGACAAACACCTTTTAGTGATTAGAAGTTCATAACCCTGACAGGAATTTTACAACTTTTCTGTCATTGGCCGATGAAGATGTTTGAAATTTGCATTATCTCGCACCATTTTGTCACAGGTCAGAAAAACAACACTGAGGTATTTTAAAACATCACCGTATATTAATATTCAAACAACATGGATTTTCTATTTTTGAAAGATATCGGGGTTGAAAGCCCTTTCCATAATACGTATTTAAGGGTAATAGCTTTACTTTCAATAAAATTAAACTCAAAGTCCACAAATAAAATATCTTTCCTCATTTATTTCAAAGTTTGGGTAAAGGGGGTGAGGAGCATGGGGATGTCATGATGTATACGTAATATACTGAAAGGAAAAAGAAACGCATACGAACATAATATGGGAATAATTTTTGTCTAAGTGGCCGAAAAATATGAAAATTGGTCAGATGAGTATTTTGGTTACCATGCACTAAAATTACTAGTCAAAACTACTCAACCATGAAATGTATGGCGTCACGTAGGGGAAATGATAAAAAGTCAAAAACACTTGCATGTTGATGATGATAATTTTGTGATAAACTTTTGTAGTGCCATACGATGCATAAGAGTTATAGAGTGACATTGTTTTTGCATATTTACAGTCAGTATTAATTTCTTGCAATCGTGGTATGGCTGACGGAATTTATTGTGGGTTTAGTAATTGAATTCAATATTGCATTAGTGAATAAAAAGACAAAAACATGCTGCTGTACAGATTGTTTTCAACTTTTCAACCAAATAAAAGTTGTCAGAGAGTTAATTTAAAATGTTTCCAGCCAACCATGACGGCAACGTTGGCGCGTAAAAACGTCACAACAAGATAGGGCTTTTCATTATGCCACCTCGGTTATTGTCAAGGCATTATCACCGAAACTGATATTTATACAGCAGACAATCATACTCATTTTTTTCATCCTTATTTGACAGAAACTCTCTGCTTTAATTTGGGCCGCGAGCTTGGCCATTTTACGTCGATTTTACTCTCAAACGCGCACGTACGCGTTGTTTGCGTGATTTTTTTAGCATGTTTACACTGCAAAAATTTAGTTAGTGTTTGTCGAAACTTTTTTACAAACATCCACGTTTACCAAACCAGCTGGATTCTGTAAATTCTATCCTAAATCGAAAATTCGTATTCGATTGGGCGGGGGGATTTGTTAGCTTTGGAATAATACAGCTAATCTCAGCCATTAAGACTACCGTCGGAAGGGTTGAATAATAATGTTCTGAAAAAGATAAATGCTCTGGTGAACTCAATGCACAGGAAAATCAAGTGTGTTACTGATGCGAAAGGGAGATTATGAGAATTTTTAGTTTTATTTTTGGGGGGTGTCGACATAATGATATCAATATCTCAGGAATTATCACTTACAATCACACAAAATTTTGGTAACTTGTTGATTAAAGATGGATTAAAATGTATGATAACAATGGTTGAAAACATATTTGAAATAATTGTTTTAATTAAACTCTAAAGTTTAATATGCGTTTCTTAATCCTTTCAGTATATATTCGAGGTTATTATTCTGTTAGACAGGAAGACCCGAGGAGTTGTGATTTGCTGATCATGATCTAAAACACGTTGACAAACCGAAACCACATGGTTTTATACACGTTATTCAATCAATTCATTCATAATTATTTTCCTTGAAGGAGGAATGCATGGATAAAGGATTAAAGAAAATTCCCGATGTACAATAGCATCCGTGCATGGACTTCATTTTAGTACTACATAATAATATTGTGCTTGAAGTTGAATAAAATCATGAAATAAATTAAATTTAAATAGGAAAGGGAGATTATGTTTAATAGAATAAAAATTAGACAATACTTGATACAGGGACTCGCTGGTAAAAACTTGAATGTACTTGAATAAAATGCCTCTCACTCGTTTTCTCTCGTAAGCGTATTTTTTAAACCAAGGAAATTAATTTGCGCTAGATATAAGTTCATCATTTTAAAGAAAATACTGAGTTATATAAGGTAAACGATACAAATGGTTTGACTTTGGTGCCGGTTATGATTTTAACAGTTTAATTTAGGTTGTAAAAGCGTTTAATTACATGATAAGTCTGTAATATTCAGATAACATTGTTACCTCGGTATATAAGTTCTTAAATTTTCGATTCTGGACATATGCGGGTTTATTACTACTTGAATGTACATTGTATAACCTGCTACTGATATTTAATCACGGAACAAAATTACAATGTTAGCACACTCTACTTATCATTTATACGGGTTTTGAATAAATTATAAAACAGATTAAGTTCATTGCTTTAAAATCATTATTTCTTGAACTTTACTATAAAACCTGTAATATAAATTAATAGACAGTGTGCAGCACAGAAGTCACTTATGAAGTTTACACGTGCCGGTGTTACTTATCGATGTTTAGTCCATTTCATTGAGCATACCATTCTATCTTTACGATTCGGAAGATTCTCTTTAAAAGTTTAAAATTGGTATAGCCATGGTTAATATCTGTGATAAAAAAACGTGTTTCGGAAAACTTGTGTTGAAAACGGATTTATTTGTGTGTGAAAAGAGCAAAGCTTGTGCATTTTAATAAATATTGGTTGAAGTAAAGTAACTGCAGATCGCCAGTCCTTGCGCTATGAATCGTCAAATTACACATGGATCTAACGAATATTTAAGAATTGAAGACTGATTAATGTACATGTAAAATAAATGCCCCAGCGTTTTGTACTAAAGTCAAACTTAAAACATTTTAAGATTTTTTGAAAGATTTAATTTACTCAGAGAAAATAATATTTTCTTACTGTTGTAGAATGGTTTGTATATACCAATTATTTGCTTATGATTGCGGGGTCAATGGTTCACCGCGGTGTGTCGCTTTAGAATTTCTCGGCAGCGTGTAATCGAAAGATAGATTACGTAATGGTAAACGCACTTTAAAAAGGAATCTTGGTTCCAGGTGAATATGAGAATCGCGCAGTAAATAATTGTGTATTATTTGACTCTTAAAAGTTTTTTGTATGAAATCCGGGCGTATATTGTTTCCGTTCATATTGTTTATATTCATATTTAAACGAATAAAAGATACTCGTTCGTACTTTTTTTCTATAACTCTTTCTCTTGGAAAGATCTTGATTAATAAAAGGAAAAAGATACCATCGAATACTCTAAACGGGAAACAAAGAACACTTTTAAAACCTAATTTAAAAAAGAGATATGATACAGCGTGGTAAAATATTTATTTCTTACGGCAAGTTTATTTCAATTATACGCATAAAGAGTTCTTCAATATCAAAATGAGAACGGAGCTTTGTTTACGGTGAATACGGATCTAGCTTTCTTTCCTACCATACGTAAGACTCGAACAAAATAATATTTTCATGGGACAGAGATAGTATAAGAAGGAACAATTTTATCAAGAATTAATTTAACCATTCTGTGGTGTGTTTTTTTTTTTGTGTATGACTGTGGGTCGCTGGATCACACGCCGATTGATTCCCGGTGACCGACTTTGCCCTGCCGCTATCGAGGGGGGCGCGTTATATAATGGTAAACAAACGAGGTGAATGTTAAAGCCGTGCACTTAATGGCTGTGAATAGTACATGTGCTTTTTAGTTCTGTTTTATTTTCTCACTATATTGTTTGCTTTTATGTGATAAGAAGAAAAGACGATATTTTCTTCCCTTTTTAGTAGACTTGGTTTATACGATTTTTAAAAAAATGAAATAAAAGGGAAAGTTGTCAGTGAATAAACATGATAATTTGTAAGAAAAAAAGCACAAACACTTCGAGAACTTTATTCTGAAGAATATTAGCTTCCAATGTAGCCATGTTTATTATTCATAGTAAGCTTGCTTTGGTTACACGCATGAGGAGCTCTCGTTTACGTGCTGAGTGAAAATATTACCTGTGCATATATAGGTCATGCACCAGCTCATTTAAAACAAGACTCGAACACAATTACAATTTCATGATATCAGTAAGATGTTAAAGCACCTTTATAATCGATAGTTATTTCAAAATATTTACCGTTTTTGAGTTATAAAGCAAAAAGTTTTAAGGTCCCTTGATCCCTAATTATAGGGGCCAGCCCCTTTTGAATATTATTATATGAAAGCCCTTGCAATTATGCACAACTTTTGTTCATTATGTCTTAACAAAATATTTTTAGTTTTCAAAATAAAAAGGAAAACATGTGTAAATTTTCGCTCTTTTAGGCGTTCTAATTTTTGACCCCTATATAGCGCCATTGTGAATACAGAAATCGAAAAACAAAAACCGATGTGCACAACTTCAATCCTTCTGTTACCTAAAATCAGTAAAAATTCTGCTTCAGCTTTTTTGGTCTCTGAGCCTTTATCCGGAAACGAAAGCCTATAAATTTTCGTTTAAAGGGAAATAACTCAAAACCGGAAGTGTTTTTTTTGAAATTTTAGTCAGCATTCTGGTAGAGTTTATAAACGTCTATAACCTCTGAAAATTTGAGCGAAATCCGTTGAGAAATGAGTGAGATATGAGGCCTCAAAGTTGCGGTCTAGGA